TACAATATGTCTACACTTGTCAACTCGAGCTGAAAAACAAAAACAGAAGAGTTTTAAAAATGACAGTTCAGAAGTGGGGTTGTGTGGAAAAGATACTAACACTTATTATCTTACCTGTTTTAGCTAGCTTTTAAAACTACTTACATTAGAGTTTAATCCTGAGCATATTGACAAGCTAAATCCTAGCCTGAACAGAACCAAGACCAAAGTGAAATGTTGCCTTTTTTAAACACCCTAACCTCAAAGACATTCTAACAAAAACACTATTTTAAAACCTTTACACCTCTGCCAATTTCTGCATTTTTAATCAGAAATATTATAATGCTGCTGCTAAAAGTTCCACAGGCTCCACTGGAAGTGCTGCAGCTGCTGCCATTACACTTCTAAATAATCACAGAACTCTATGTAAATATTTCTATATTATGAAATTCATATTGTATAAATTCCTAAAATACTGTTAGCATGACTTACATTTTTGAGATTAGAGGTGTTTTAAAAAGGGGGTATTATTCAAAATGGACTCTTTTGAGCTTTATAACATGTAATGATGTCATTCCCTCATCAAAAACACATCCAGTGTTGCTTTGACTCATTCATGCATGTTTGAGGAATCCTTGAATCTCCTGTGACCATGTGAAGCTGCCTAAACACTTGTTGGTACAAAGCTCCTCCCTGGAGTTCAGTCTGCAGCCTAGCTCCCACCCCACAGAGGACCCCTTCCCTGAAGCATTGTTGTGAAGATGTACTGAAGTGGGAGTGTCAGAAATGATAGGATGTTCTTAAAGAGACACAGGCCAATTTTCAAGATGTTTAGATAGGCTATGATGCAAAGTCAAATTTATTTTTGATATAAAACAGCATTTTCATAACAACTGAAGGTAACATAGTTACTTGATTGTGGTRTAGAACTGAACAATATGCCTGGAAAACACATAAATACTAATAAAGACGTGTTCTATACTTTTGGGTCAGCTACAGATCAGCTTGTTGTCCTGGTTTACTCAGGGTGTTTGGAGTAATCACCAAGAAAAAAACCAAGAAATGAATCTCAATTACCACCACACCAAACTTTAGCTCAGCCTCTCTAAAACTGTCTGAGTTCTAGCTATTTTTATGTTTAAGTTTGAACAGCTGCAGCGGCTGTCCTAAATCACGTTGACTCTAAAATGGAATCTGTTGCAGATGTACATCAACAGATGATTCTGAGAATTCCATTAAAATCCAGCGACTGATTCTTGACATATTTTACTGACATATAAACAAACACACAAACATATTCTCCTGATGGTGGGTGATAAACAGACTCAACCAAAACACCTCCTCAGATGGTCTTACCTCCCACCAGGCCAGGTCGATGTCGGCCCGGGTCAGCTCGATGATGTCTCCTTTAAAAAGCTGAAGAGGCTGTCCGAAGCCCACGGGAGGCGGCGGCAAACCATAATACTCCTGACACACCTCCATCTTTGGGAAACCTGAAAGTGAGGAAAAAACAGGGCTATTTAAAAAGAAACACTTTTAAATGGTTAATGTGGGAATTATACAACCACAACACTGACAGGCTTTACTCATTAGATTTAAATCTAGAAACTTGGTGGTTTCGGTTTGGTAAGCAATGAATATCTTACCAATGTTAGCATGTTTAGGAGACTTGTGTGATTTATGCTGAAGAAGCAAAAAAAAGGGAGATAAAACATTTATCTGTCGGCAGAAATGAATAACAGGATAATATTCTGGTATGTAAAACGGTGTTTTACCTTACTCAGGGTGCCAGAATTTTCTGTAATTTTGAGAGAAAAATTAAATATAAAAGGTGATAATTTCACAACAGAAATCAGTTTAAATGCAGACATTTTATACAAACCCGAGGTTCGTCCACATCCTGGCACTCTGCCTAAACACTCTTTATGGGACGCCATTTTACAGCGAGAGCATTGATAGCCCTGGAAAAACGTCCCTCTGCAGACAACAAGGAGATATTTTAAAGTGTGGACACATTTTTTTTTAATCTAATGTTCTGGGAGCTAATGACTATATAGTTAAGACAAAAGCACCTTAACAACATTGAGCAAGCCTTGCAGGTGGTGGTTTCCTCGAAGCAGTGCATCTGGAAGTCGTGGTTGTTTGTCGTGGCGTTGTCAGGACACATGTTTGACCTGCAGTTATACGAAAAAAAAAGGGTTGTTTTCTTCCAAAGCTGGAGGAAGAGAACAAACACACAGCTGGTTTCCAGTGAGGAGAGCAGCTTGATGCTGGTCAGAAATAATGAACACAAGCTTGTAGCAACAACACGGTGGAGTCTGAATGCAAATAAGACAACTAACAAGTCATGATTTCTGTTATTTCCTGTGGGGTTCCAATTAAACTTTAACAGGATTCTTATTCATTGGTCACCTCATAAGAAAAAACATTCGCTAAAAYGTGGTTTTTATAATTAAAATTATGGTTCAGACATTCTGAATTGGGGTTCTGTGGAGGTGATATGAACAATTACTATCTTACCTGTTGTAGATGGCTCTTTGAAACTCAGTTTGGAGAAACTGAGTTCATTTTGGTTGGATCGATGAGCTAATGATTATTCAGAACAACTCCAAAACATTCTTGTGAATCGTGTAAACAGTGTTTTATAAACCTGTTGCATATTTTGTGACTGACTGACTAAATTTTAAAGTCTTATGTTATATACTTTCTGATTGATAGTCATTTACTTTAAACAGTAAGAGAATCAACCATCCATTATCTTTTACCCTTGCTTTTACCCTAGCTTGGAGGCAAGTCCATTCCAGGGAAGCAGACAAATGACACACACAACCATCCACTCTCTCACTCACACCTAGGGACAAATTAGAGTTACCAATTAAMCTAACAGTCAAGTTTTTAGTCTGTGGGAGAAAACTAAAGCACCTGGAGAAAACCCAGAAGTGCATGAAAAGRACAGGAAGGTCCCAGGTCRGGATTTGATCTGGCAACCTTGTCTTGTCGGAGAGGCCATGGAAAGAGAYTTTCGTATGGCTTCGAGGCGATTCTGGTCCACCATCYGACATCTCAGGGGGGTAAAGTGGTTCGCCACAACACCATTTATTGTGGGGATGGGGCGCTGCTGACCTCAACTTGGGACGTTGTGGGTCAGTGGGCGGAATACTTCGAAGACCTCCTCAATCCCACCGACACGTCTTCCCATGAGGAAGCAGAGCCTGGGGACCCTGGGTCAGATTCTCCAATCTCTGGATGTTGTGGGGTTGCATTGGTTGACGTGACTCTCTGGAGACTAGCATTTGTGGAGACTAGCATTTGTGGGGGTGTCTCCAAAATATCAGAAAATACTTGCACAGGTTCTCAGCTTCCTCGTGTGACTCAGTCCAGTTTGAAATTGAATTCTGAACATGTTGAAAATTTGAACAATTATATTCAATGCAGGTCTAAAAGCCATACCGATGATAAACAACAACTATGTGAAAATCTACTGTATCTTTATTTTTAAAGTGCACTTCGGCAACGTAAACCACAAACATGGGGCTACTGCTAAGGCTAGCACAAAGCAAACCAGACTGAGTAAAATATAAATGGAGGAGAGGAACAAAATAATGCCCCTGGCCAAGAATGCAGTTTTACAAGTCATTCACAAAAAAAGAGCCATGATTTAAAAATAAAATAAAATAAAATAATTGTGGCAAATGCTGGTCTCTTGATTGCAAACTAAAAATTCAGTGAGACGGTAACTGTCATTATGTTGAGCCGCCAACTTTATCAACTATTATGAACTTCCTGTCACAAGTGCCTTACAGGAACTACTACAGCTTTAACTTCTGCTGCTATTTGTGCTGGCAAATTACAGGAAAAAATATTTGTACATAACTGTCATGTGAAATTGGTGGGAGTCTAAACATCTTTGGTGTTAATCTTTTTAGATTTGAGTTGTTTTAAGATGCAGTAATCATTTTGGGCATTGTTCTTAGCTGAATTAAAGGGGCAATGTCATGTAAAATCAACTTTTTTGAGTTGTATATCTTGTTTTATATCATGTTATAATGTTATACTCTCATAAAAACATGCCCAAAGTTCTCACTCAGTGAAGCTCTTTTCAGATTAAAAATACCTTTGAGGAAATGAATTTTCAGATGCCAAGGAAACTGCATCATGGCTCACGCCCCCCCACCCCCCACACACACACGCACGAGCCCCCTGCATCGGGAGCCCCCTGCATCGGGAACCCCCCCCAGATGGGACGGAACAGAAGCAGAAGGTGGTTCTTAAAGAGACAGAGGCCAATTTCAAGGTGTTTAGAAGAGGAAGTGATGAGAAGATAAGTTTATTTTCTATTTAAACATAAAAACAGCATTTTAATAACAACTAAAGGTGACATGTATACTTTATTATGGTATAGTATTTAAATATATGTCTGAGAAACGCATAATATTGGCCCTTTAAACTATTTTTTGAGCAGTCTGCAACAAGTCAGTTAATTCTTCATATTCTTTCCACAGAACCCCACTTTAAAAGATCTGAAGTTTTCCTCTCAGAACTCAGAAGAGTAGTGAGTTTACATATTCAAATGTTCAGCAGCATTAATGTTGAAGTGACCCAATGACGTCTCGTTTCTGTTTTYTATTTTTATTTTTTTGGTCTTCAACAATTCCTATGGGGGAAAATATTTGGGCGTTCAGGCGTGAAATGTTCTCCTTTTTTTCCAACAGCACCCTTCCTCTCTGCGGTGTCTCTGCTCTGATGCAGGTTAGCCTGATGTTTGTTTGTTCATGTGCAACACATCAGCCTGTGTGATTACTCACAGAGCCATCTCAAACTGCTCCAGCCATTTCTTCTTCAGCTCTCTGGTTTTGAAAATAAAATCGTAGCCACTCCTGCCACAGCACTCCAACAAGAGGAATGTGTAGGACCACTGTTCACACAGAAAAAGACACACGTCAGTGTTGTAGATGTCCACTGGACGTCAAACAAACGGCACTGCAGTTAAAGTATACTTTTACCTTTTTATTGTCCTTCTCCCCAAGGGATTCGTCTCGAATCTGGTAGTGGTTTAGTTCAATGATGTCCTTAAGCTCAAAAGTCTCTCCACTCTTCTTTTTACAAATTATTACAGCCTTGTCGAAGAGGAACGCGTACCTGATGAAGCACAGCCACAAACAGGGACAAACCATCATGCAGAAGAAGTGAAAGTGGCAGAAGAGACGACCACACAGAACACACACCTGTCTTGTTTGGACTTTTTCTCCGAGGTGCAGATCTTCAGCTCTCCGTCGATCTTGGGCCGACCAAAAAGAGCCAAAGACTGAGTCTGAGGAGCGGAAAGGTGCTGATGTAAATACAGGGGAAAAGCCAAAAAACAACCAAAGAGATAAAAAAAATGTCGGGGGGAAAGTGAGCTCACCAAGTTTTCTATGGACATCTGAAAGCTGGTGATTTGTTTAATGATCTCATTGTCTCGTTTCACTTCATTTATACACTGTGCTAGGTCCTGAGAGCACAGACACACAGAGATGAATTACAAAATGTAAGAAAGAAAAAAAAATCAAGCCAATAATCAACAAACCCACTCACTCTCATGGCGTCCAGAGCTATTCGGAGGTTTTCCTTGTCTGTGGGGTCAGTGGTGTGTTTCAGCAGCTCCTACAAACACAATCAGATCACTTTAAATCAGAGCTGCTGCATAAAACTAACCTGAAAAAAATAACATAAAATAAAATTGTGCGTGTAATGAACTCATGTAGCAATGCACACACACACACACCTGTAACAGCAGGGGATATTTGAGGACTCTCTGCATGGGAACCATGAGCAAGTCTCTCAGGGAAAAACGACCACTGTTTGCTCTCTTTGAACACTCCTGAAGAAAGAAAGATAGACACAAACATCAAACGTGTTAGAAATGACAGATTTGTTGTTGGTTTTGGGTTAATAAAGCTGATCTAATATACAACTTTTATTAGCAATTCATACATTAAAAAATGTTTCATAAGTTGGCATAAGTTGTCTAATGTACAGGGCCTTTAAGGCTAGATCTGACTCGGATTATTTCAAACCAGTATTTTGCCTTTTTCTTTGAACATCTGACTGAGATTCTGCAGTGGCACATTTTAACTCACCCGTTGTTGTAATCGTTGGCTCAGAATGGTCTTTTCCTACAACTCGTCTCAATATAGTTACATAAATATGTGTGTGTAACCCACATAGCACACAGGTAAGCTGGTATGGCAAGTGGATTGTCAACAGGATGTGGGCCAGGTCTGGCAATGATGGGACTGTTTTTAAGATGACCCTGTTATGGTTTGGTTTATGTGGTGGGCCACCTCTGGCCAACTCCACCAAAAGGCCATCATTCTTTAAGACAGTGGTTCTCTATCTTCTGTCATGCCCTTTTATTTGTTGGAAAGAGGCTGTATGAATGAAGGTAAGGTTAAAAAGTTAAAGCTTTGCCGTCCTCACCTCTAGTTTCATCCTGATGTCGTCCCTCATGGCGGAGAGCTTGTCCAGGTGTTTTGTTGAAACCTCCACCTGACTGCAGTAATGACCGTACAGCAAGAGCCTGCAGAAAAAAAAAACAACTTAAATCACCTCCATACACCCGTAGCATCACTGCTTTGCCAAAACATTTGGGGCACATGTTGGTCGTGTACCTCTCCTTGTAGTTCACAAACACCTGGTAGAGATTCTTGGAGCTGTGTTGGAAGACGGAGCTCCGAATTTCGTCCAGCAAACTACGGTGTGTGCTAGCCAGCTCCTGGACAACGAGTAAATAATGTAAACAAAGCTTTCAGGTAAAGCGCAGAACGTCTGCATGAATCTTCTCCTCCTGTACCTTTATATTGATGAAGATGCTTTCAATGTCTTGAGCCTGGAGGAACTTTTCAAGAGGCCTCATAAAGTGCTGCTCAGAACAGAAGGGATGATTAATAATCGGTCTTTAATAAAACACATGAAGCATGCAGGTGAACTGCAGGATCGACTGGTCTGTGTGTGAACAGGTTTAGTATCAGACTGAGTTGGTGCTCAGACCTGTAAGATAGACTCCAGTGTGTCCGTGTATTTCTCTTCAGTCTGTCGGATCTCCTGCAGGCAGCACTCTCGCTTGTCGACTCCAACTTTCTGCTGTGAAACAAGACATACAGTCAGGCTTTGACTTGTCTTTCATGTAATAWACTCTAACTTGACAAATTTGCTAATATAAATTTTTTAAAGTGTTTGTTTTGGTTTGATTCTTGGACTGTGTCATTACATTCTCTCCACACATGACGTCATTCTAAGATGTCAGAGTTTTACAACCCTGGAAACTCCGCAGACACTTTTGCAATCTTTGATTTTTTTTTTAAAGAACAACTGAATAGTTCCTTTTAACGAAGTTTCTAAAAACAATAGATCCAGTTCCAGTTTATAAATCACAAGTTCTAAAGTAAAAGTATTTCCAGCAGCGCTATTCAACTGGCGGCCTGCGGGCCTCTTCCAGTCTGCTGGTGACTTTGTGCTGGTCCACAGATAAAAAATTTTTTTTATATTATTTACATTTTAGACTTCACTGGAAAATATTTCAGTCAGAGTGGCAATCCTGTTATATAGATGATCTATGACAGGACTTCATTTGCTATAAAAATAGAATTTAAATCATTCTTAAATTATATTCTCTTTTTTATTTAAATCTAATTTATTCAAATTCAATTAAAAATACAGTATTTATTTAATTGCTGGATGTATGGCCCCTGAGTTGTGGGCTTTTGGTAACTGTGGTCCTTTGAGCAATTTAGTTGAATAGTCCTGATTCACAGTGATCAGTTATCAGACATCATGGTGAATCTTACAGTTTGCAGGTGACCAGAAGCTGCTTAGATGCTACTTTTTGTTTGACATATAAAAGTTTTATTCAAAAGTTCTCACAGTTTCAGGCTGTTCATCTGTCCTCATCAAGTCTTCATAGATCTCATCGCCTTCGTTGTCTTCATCCTCCACAAAATCGTACAGGTCGTCATCCTCATCCACCGTGTCACTGAGAAATGCAACACAAACACAGAAGTGTTCATGGAGTTTATTATTGTGCGAACCTGTGTGAGATCCATCTTCAAAGTTTAAATGTTGTAATTAAAAATAATAAACAAAACAGGCCGATTTACATCAGTCTACGAAAGTACTCTTTTTGTATTTTATTCGGCTAAAAGAAGAAATGTTCTTAGCTCGTTTTGCTGTTTGCTTTAGTTACAAATGAGTAACATTTAAATAAATGATCATTATTATGGAGACAAAAACTGAAATATGTATGGGAACAAAGCTTACTCGATCTGGTCTGACAGTCCGCTGTAGATCTCATCATCAGGAGCAGATCCTTCCAAAGGAAAAGGCCTGGAGAAAAGAAAGTGTGTGTTACTATGTGGCGTTTGTGTGGGTGGGTGGTAAAATTCAAACAGTGACAGGAACAATAATGAAATAAAGTTTGTTATCAAGTGAGAAACTTGCTAATCAATCTACTCCATCTTTTCTATCTCAGCTGTTCAAAACCTGCTGGTAAATATATATAATGTCATTAATATACGCACATATTCACACAGTGAGATTGCTATCTAGAAACCAGTGATAAGAAAATAACTACACTCTTTTGCATCTATGGTTTTGTGTCTTAAAACACATAAAAAGCTTCTTCAAATTAGATTTAAAAACTCAGAAGAACAGAAACACAGCACAGCAAAAGCCACATTATTCTTTATTAAAAAAACTTCAAATGCAGAAGCCTTGTGTGAAAAACTAAACCCACCCTGTCATCTTCCACAGAAATCACAGGAATAAGTAGCCTAAACATAAGCAGTTGCTAAAAAAAACGTAATGACGTTTTCAGCATGTCTGGCTGTCATTAAAAAAGGAAACAATTTGAAATATGAAATACACTAAACATTTTTTTTTCGTAAATACTGTATTGTACAGAACAAAATTCTAAACATCYTCATAATGTGTCATGTACTCACTGGAGTCCTTTTTGTAGAGCAATAGGAGAATGAGACAGGATGGACAAAGTGTTTATGACCTGTTCCACAGAAAGAAACAAAAATAAGAACAACGTTCGGGTTCAATGTTTTTTTTTCCCCTCTTCAACCTTTATTTAACCACGTAAAATATCAGAACTGTCAAGAAGTGGTGACAGTTCTGGTATCTACATTTTACAGATGCCAGGTTCAAGAAACTGAATATTTTACTTTATTTGTGTCTCAGCTCCATCACTGTGGCCAAGACAAAGCTTAGAACAACGTCATGGTCATCATCAGAACTCACCAATCAAAACATTTACCACTAGATGTTTGTGTATACTTTGTACAATATTTAAATTTGTTTAAATAGACTCAGTGAAACAAGCTGCTCTAAATTCAGGCAATGTTTGAGCTGATGTAGTCATAATTCAGAAGACCATAAATAGCTTCAGAAAGCTTCAGCTTCCAGGAGGACAAAGCAGACCATCCAACACAAAAATACTTCTTTAATGTTTGTAATGAAGCTCAAAGCTTCACAGTCAGCTGTATTAACAGCAAATAGCAAAGAGGCATGCATGTAAAATATCTGCCTACGAAAAGATTAAACTTGATTCTGAAGAAAAAAAAAAGTATGAAGAAAGAGACTGACTGGAAGACAGCAAAGAGCCGATTCATACGTTTAAATTTAACACTGAATAATTTGCCCTCAACCCAGTTTCACAACCGTTCCTGAGCGCAGTATCGAGATGAGCGATCTCAAACGCGAAACCAGGTTCTTCTGATGCTTGACACGTGTGGTCAGAAGTGGTCCGCAATCAGACAGCTCTCTTTCTGATTGGATCAACRCTTGTTAGTGAGCCCACAGTTCTCCAGGAAGTGCGCTTTAAGAAATCAGATTTAAAATGATTAGCAAAATTAAATTAATACGTTTCCTGTCATGTTTCTGGCTGAAATATTAAATCCCTCTCTGCGTTCCTAGCGGAGGTGCACCAGAAGTGCTACAGCTGGCTGCTAGTCACACTTCAGATACCCTCTTTTATAAATAACTAATGAGAGTGGTTAGGTTACGCGGTCAAACTAAACTCTAAATCTCCAAACTGAGGCTGTTCAAACATTTATCTACAAGTAAGAATTGTTCATAACTTTACAGCAGAACCCCACCTCAAAATGATCTGAATTGTTTTATTTGTGTCTTTTTCAAAAGACTACAACAAAGGAATTTAGTAGTTCCTACTTTGTAAATATATTTTATTAATATAAGGAATTTCCAAACAGAATAGATTATGCTGCCTCTACATGTATTTAGGTGTGTTGTTTCTACTTTTAAACTACATATAGGAACTGAATACTTCTTCCGCCACAGTATATAACACAGCCTGTCCGCAGCGCTGACTGGAAGTTGTCAAGTAAAAGGAGAAGATTATTATCAGTAACCAACAGACCCAGGAGTAAATGGTTGTGTTTTTTTTTTTTTTTTTGCCCCTGACAACTTCCTCTTTGCACATAAAAGTCAAATGAAAATACATTTCCAATTTTATTCTTGCAGCGCATAATCCAAAAAGTGAAAGAGAGAAGAAAAATACTGAATTCCCACCATCACTCAACCTTTTCAAATGAGAAATTTAGTCAGCTACTTCCTGTTCGGGCTATGTGGGTTGTTTGCAAGCTGCAGTGTAGTGTCACGGCTCGGCTCATGGTTTTGGTTTCTGCAGTGATGACTGAGGTATGAGCGCCTGATGTTTCCTGTGTTGAATCACCGTTTAACCGGAAACAGTAGAAAACCAACATATCTAATAATGAAAGAAATAAGATTGTTTTTTTTTTTTATTTATTCTGATTTTGACCCCTGCAGCTGTAGTAGCATTTTATCATTTTAATAACTTATCATACAAATGAGGGGTTTTAGAAGCAAAATGTTGAGCTCTTAAAGCTTTTAAAACACAGCAGATGGCCCCAATTACAAACTAAATGTTGATTGTTCAACTTTAAAGGCATGGTTTGAACTGAAAATATTACAACACTGGAGAAGTGATGCTTTTTTTTATCGTGGTAAAGTTTTAATTTGCAACTTATGAACTCAATGGCCCACTGTAGCTGCTGCTGAGGGCTTCAAGAGGTTTCCTGAAACCAATTAAATGGTTTCCACAACTAATTAAATCTTTAATTTAATAGCATATAGCCATTCCAGCACTGAATGTTTAATACAGGTTTTCAATCTTATCCTTTCTGTATAGAGATTTATGAAGAATATTAGAATTTTCTGGTGATGCTGTGCTTTATGTGTACAATACGATTCCCCAAATTTCTTCAGTTATTAAACATTATCTTAAAATAGTTGAACGGGTCGGCCTTAACGAGTGCCAAGCTGTCATATCCTGCCCTGACAAAAACCTTAGCAGGTACGAGACTCCTTTTATTTTCAGCTTTACTCATGTTATCAGCCCACAGATCTGACTGAGGGTTAACCTGTTAGCTGTGACTTTATCCAAGCATGAGCCTGACATGACGTTTCATGTCTAACGTGGTAATCACGCAGTGAGTGACAAACTTAGATTATAAAGCAATTTACAATTTACAGTAGTTTCAACATTTGTTTGATTGAGTARAAAGTGTAAAATGGCAGAAACAAACTGACATCATTTTAATCCAGGGGTGGGCAACGAGGGCCGCAGCGCAGCCCTGCATGTTTTACTTGTTTCTCTGCTCCATAGCCATTTAATTAGTCCCTTATTTATAGCATGGCAATGATTCTGTGTTAAAAGGTAATATAATCAGAATTAAAAAAGAGAGGGTTTTAATCTGATTGCATGCATAATAAAATTAAGTGAAGTATTACTATTTGGGCAAACTGCACCAGAACACATACTGTATGTGCAAAGACAGATGTACAAATGTTTGTGAGGGCTTTGAGATTTATATGCAAAATCAGCAACAGCACCTGCAAAAGATGTGCAAGTGTGGTTCTAAATCTTATTCTCCAAGAGTCGGTCAGCAGGTGATATAAGGAGGCCACATTGCATTGAATCAATCTTTGCTTATCTCTCCTTGACTTTTCTTCCCATAAATAAAAACTTGTTTGTGTTTTAGTTTCAGTGAAGCAGACAGATGAAGTGTGTGTGTCTTACCTTTCCAAAGTCTCGCACGTCAAACAGCTCAAACGCTTCAAACAGGTCGTTCTTCCTGAGGTGAAACCTCTCTTGACAAACTCCCAAAAACGTTCGGATGTTCTTCAGGCACAGGAACTGAAAAACAAACCGGATCACAACAGTGTGTTTAACACCACCAACAGCACTCTGTAGAATCAGTACTTTTATTTACGTCATTAATAATCATCTGTTTAAAAATGGTTTATGTTGTCAGTCAGACAAACAAAAATGTAATTAATTCTGACATGCTTTACAGAGACCCCTTAACAGTCTTTGTTCCACCGGTGGGCAAAAATGGTGCAGTTTCTGCCTTTAAATGTTTCTGGACATTTCCAGATCTGGATGTTTCCAGAATAGAATAGAATAGAATAGAATAGAATAAAATAAAATAATGATTATTCCACAAAGTGTCATCAGTTTGTGGATGTTTATTTTTCTCCTCTTCATAATGTTTCAAACATTTTCTTTAGAAGACAGATGTGGACRTTATTGTTTTTACCAGAAAATGCTGTTTTAGAGCAGAATGAGTTGGCATTATTGTTTTGCAGAGGTGTTAAGTAACAAAGTTCAAATACTTTGTTACTTTATTTAAGTAGAAATTTTAGTTATCTATACTTTAC